CCCCCAAAACCCCAAAACCCCAAAACCCCAGTAGTGAAGGTTTAAATTGATTTAACGTAATTTTTCTAGAGCTCATCTTTCAAAAATGAGTATTCCTCATTTTCTAGTTTGTCAACATGCTCAGCAATGAATTTCTCTCTTCTAGTTTGCTGCTCATCTTTAATGAAGCTCACAAATTTTTGATGGGATTTGATGCTCTTATTGGACTTTTTCAGAGAAGATTTGGTATCATTCAAAATAATGGAACAATGAGACCTTGAAGAATCTTTAGGAGCTCCAAGCATTTCTCTTTCGAATTTTTCCATTCTGCTTTGTTGAATTCTGAACATTTCGTCATTATCTGCTAGTTCTCTTGCTCTGACTTGATGGAGCTCTCAGACATTAATGTTATTATCATTGAGTTTGTTGTCATTTATTCCTCCAAAGATGAGTATTTCTGATCCAAATAGTATAGATCAGTGAGAATAGACCGGTTTAGGCACATCTCCCTTCATCACAACTTGGACCCACTCGAGTGTATTAGTCCTGAGTATGTACATATCATTCAAAATGATTTTACTGACATTCTTCTCTTCAGCTTCGCTCGGAGTTCTACCACCGAAAATGATGACCGAATTCATAAACCCAACGAAATGCATGGAATGGCCGTACCTAGGAGGAGGGGCTTTCCCAAGGACTTTAGGTTTTATCCAATATGGTTTTGGAATCCCTATTTTAAGGATCCATAAATCATTAGATAAAGTAGTTCCTCCAAACACATAAATCCCCATCTCTTTGATAGTAGGGTTTTCCAACTTTTTGATAGGAATATGGCTCTTGAATAAATCAAGATTGTTCTTGTTTAACATATAAGGGTGCATCACGATACAACTCCTGTGGTGAGACACAGCATCTGGTCCGTTCTTCTTCATTTTTATTTTCTGCCAAAACTGAGTTTTGAAGTTAAACGCATGAATGTCTCCAATCACTTCAGATTTATGGTTGAGGCCACCGTGGACAAGCATATAGTTACCTACTACTTCACAGATGTGGTTTCTTCTGAACGTTATTTCTCCATTTCAGTTGAGTTTTTCCCATTTCAAATAGCTGGTATTGAAACTGTAGATGTCACCATAGGTTTCCCTGATCTTAAAACTTTCAACATAGCGTCTGTATCCACCATAAACATAGATATTTGAGCCATAGACTACAGCTGTATGGCCATATCTCGGCTCAGGTTGTGCATCAGTTCTGTTAAATTTGAGAGGAAACCATTTCCCTTTTTGGACATTGAAGACATTTACATCTTGTAGCATGCGAGAATTAAGACCTCCAATAAGAACTATTCACTCCTCTCAAAAGACACAAGCTGCTTGCTCTCGACTGTTGGGAGACCAAGAGGAAATATTTTTGATTTTCCAGTAGAACAGTGGAGCTTTCCCAGAGAACTGACTGCTCATTGTTCTATTATCAAACCCCATCATCTGAGGCATCTGAATAATCTTGGTAAAAGGATTGTCAGGGATAGAATTAGGAAGGGATCTCTTGACACTTCTGAGGATAAACCTAGCAATTCCTGCTCTCAAAGCCTTAGGATCCATTTTTACAGTCTTTCTTTTACCTTCATATGCAGGAAGTTGGCTAATTCTTATCTTAGGTTGCTTCCTGTAACTCCTTCTAGCAGTACCGATCATTTTCAGGTCCTTTAGCGTCTGAATTCGTTTAGGAGTGTTGTTCTCAAATTTGTTTCGTAAATTAGGAGCAGAGGTCGTTTTGGCTAACTCCATGAACTTCTCAGTCCGGATCCCTTCAACAACCTTATTGAATTCATTCTTGATAATCTTATTTGAATTGAGCATCTTGAATGCTTCTCTTGGTGAAGTGTAAACTACATTAGACTTGATCGAAACTAGAGGTGTCTGAAGCCTTATGGACGGCATTCTCTATATATTAGTCATCTTTTTCTCTAACCTGATTTTCATTCTTGCCTATATAGATAACATGAGATTCTGAGAAAACCAAGAAAGGGAAGGTTGGACTTACTCATCAGACTGCCGCTATATTTCCGACTGCTACGACTCTTGAGTGTCCTGAAGTTACTGAGAGTGCTACCTAGGCGTGGCTTCCTAGTGTTTGCTCCGAAATCCCTAGTTGTCATACCTCCCTCAGACATTTTATTTTGACTTAGACCTAGTTGAATTGTAAAACATGGGAGAGGTCTGATCAAACTGGTCGATTTGGTGGTTATCAAAATTTATCCTGCTGCTTATCTTCATGAAGAGGGCCTTCTCAGCCTGGTCTGCTTCACTATCGTATTCATCTGCTCTTTCGAAGTCCTTATCCGAAGGGTTCTGGTACGTTCTAGAGAAGTAGCACGAGACTTTACTTTTTAAACACATTTATTAAGGGATGGTCGCCCTGGAGGGTGATTAGCTTGTTCATGTTTTGCACACGCACTTCTTCCCGAAGGATTTTAATGCGAGACTCTTCCTCAAGTTTCTTAACTTTGTCCATTTTTTATTTAAGTGAGATTTTTTGGGGTTTTGGGGTTTTGGGGTTTTGGGGTTTTGGGG